TGAGAAGGCCTGTAGCTTCCACAGTGCTGCGCGGAACTTCTGGAACAGAATATAGGTGGTAAGTGTCAATGCGCTCTTCCGCAAGCTACAGTTCGTTGTCTTATTTGACATGCACACATGGCTGCATCTATAGCATCATGGAGCAAGGAAAGCCAAGAAGAGGCCCTCGTAATGAGGGCTGCAGAGCGAAAAGTGTGGCGGAAGTCACATGCTTTTGCAGGAGGTGTGGCAGCTTGGGCTAGTTGGTATGGCATGACAATAGTTATAGCGCGAAAACAAAACGGCGACACAGAGACAAGGACACGAAGGGCTTCTTGTCTCTGTGTCGTCGTTTTGTTCTCGCGCTATAACTATCGTTTTGCGGGAGGGTTGTGGGACATGATGGGTATGCCTGCGCGTCCCTTTTGCTGGCCTCCGTCGCGCATGAGCGAGCCACCGCAGCGTGCTCCCAATTGCGAGGAGGAGTTTTCTACTCTTCCCAACTTCCGCCTTCACAAAATGTGACGTAATGGCCTCTCCTCAGTTTATTCCTTCCTCCATGTTTAATATACTAACTGTGCCATGCAAAACATTGGCGGTGCTGCGCGCCTTTCATTGCAGTCACTTACCTAGAAGAGCAGTTCAGTGAATGCCGCCTGTCTGGCGTAAACGTAACGAACATTGGAGTCACTCACCCAAGCCGTCTATAGATCCCGCTGATGTCCGCAGCACAGAAGCTCGCGCGTAAAGTTGCTGGCCTAAGACTTCACCGTTAATGATATTGTTAAGAGGAACAGGCGGAAGAAAAAAATTGTCAATTTGCATGTTGATGTGTACAATAGAAATTACTCGGAAGTGTTCAGACAATGTTTCCTTGTTTTGTTTTCTCGCATATATATATATATATATATATATATATATATATATATATATATATATATATATATATATATATAGGCGCCATTCTATATCAAGTGTACCTGGTCGATTTTCGACGATCTCTGATCATGCCGAAACAAATCGTGGCGGTATATGTGAATCTGAGAAATACTCTAAAAAGTTATAATTCACAAAAAATGCATTGCCTAGAAGGTGCTCCAAACATTGGGGACCCATCTGAAACGTTGTCGCGCTAAATAATTCATACAATATTACTGGTTCGAGCAATTGTTTCGATACGTATCATAGAATAATCTGAAAGTGCTGCTATTTCATGACTATGGTGGTTTATTCATCTTTGTTTATATTTTCCTTATTTTTCGCTTTGGCGAAAAATTGCGATGTGCTGTAGTATTTTTTTTAAGCATAAATTTTTTGGCCAGTAATATATTTGCATTTTACATTTTATAGGCTCACACAAATAATGATTAAAATACTTGGGGAGTAAATGAAGAAAAAATATTGCCAAAATATTTCTGGAAAACTGAAGAGAACCAGCATTATGACTCATATTGTGACTTCGTTTTCGAAATGTAGCGGTCCAAGTAAAAATATGGCTTTTGTATTATCGCATATAACAGTTTGTCAGTAAAACAAACAGAACGTATAAAAATAGTAGCTTCTATTGTAATCGAAAAATTAATTCCTTCTCGATAACAATAAGATAGTAAGAAGCCTGCCTTTGCTTCACCTTCACTGCATAGCACGTCAGCGCGAGGTTCCAGCGGAAGCTTTTCACAATCGAATAATGCATGTCAGAACTCCTTGTCACTTGTTTTAGTGATACTGCTATATTGGACGTCAAATTGGAGCATTGGTGCTTTCTTTATGGAATGCTATCTGCCCCCTTGGATCACCAAAGGACAGGTTATCTTAAACCGCTTCTCTGTCCTCAGGGGCAGAATTATAATGCAGACGATGGCGCACAATACAGTATTGAGAAGCTTTATTTGACTTTTGATAATTATTACACATAGTCTTAATTATGATAACGGACATAATAAAGTATCTAAGCGGTTTTCAAGATGTTTCAGAAATATATGCAGATGCGATCGCTTAGCTTACATGGTGTGCATGATAAAATGATGCATCTTGGAATTCAATATTGTGCCCATAAATGGCAATGGCACATAATTTGCCTCTGCCGGCTGTCGTGTAAATTTTTAATCACTTTTTAATGGTCTCATAGGGCGTTGAAAACGTTCAAAGCGCACAACCATTACCAGAAAGCTTTAAGTTACAACATTTTCAGCACGTTCGGACCATTAAGAAAGAGAGGAATGAAAATGCTAAAACCTCCCCGGAAATGGGGACGGAAAAATCATGCACGGGCAAACTATTCAATCATCTCTAAGTAACTTGTGTAGGATGCATAATTTCATCATGCACACCATCGGCAAGTGATCACGCGTAGGCCTAGAAATCATAAAAATAGCTTAGGCGAAATATACAATAATTGTGTCGTTAATTACTAATAGTATTATTCTTATTAGGACATTGCGTATTTTTTATCAGAAGCCAAACACAACGCCTCAGTACTCTATTGCAGGCCATCGAAGGCATTAAAATTCTACCTCTTGGGACTAAGAAGCGGTTAAATATAAATCGGCCTCATATAAATCGGATACAAGGGGGAAGATAATGTTCCTTAAAGAAAGCACTACTGCCCCTTTTTGGCGTTCATTACAGCGGTATTACTGAAATAAGTGGCAAGGACTTGTATTACATGCATTATTCGATGCCAAAAAACGTCCTCTGCAACTTCGCGCTGATGTGCTATGCAGTGAAGGTGAGGCAATGTGGCAGGATTCCTACTACTTTATAGCTGTTCAGATGGAAAACGTTTTTCCTTCAAAACCGAAAGTACTCTTCTGAAACTTTCTCCTTATCTTACAGACAAGCTGCACTATGCAGCAGTACAAAAGCCATATTTTTACTTGGACTTCTACATTGTGAAAACCAAGGCGCAATACGAGGCAAAATGCTGGTTCTTTCAACTTCGCCAAAATAATTGGCTATGTTTTTTCTTCATTTGCTCCCAAAGTATTATTCATTTGATACTAGAACATATAAAATAGAAAATGTCAATATATATCCGGCCGAGAATTTGTGCTTTTTACAAAAACGCTACTCATGCTGCACAATGCAATTTTACGCCAAAGCAAAAAGGAAAGAAAAATTTTAAAACAAAAATGAATAAACAATCATATTCGTCAGTTAGTAGCGTTTTGAGATTAATAAAACATACGTTTCATAATAATGGCTTAAACCGGCAATATTCTATAAATTATTTAGCGCGACACAGTTTCACTTGGGTGCCCCAAGTTTGGAGCGCCCTTTAGCCAATACAACATTTTATGGGGAATTGTAATTGCCTCAGTAATTACTTCTCGCACTCAGATCAGATATTATTCCACGATTCTTTTGAGAATGATCGGAGACTAGGAAATTGATCTTAGGTATACTATATATATATATATATATATATATATATATATATATATATATATATATATATATATATATATATATATATATATATATATATATATATATATATCCTTATGAAACATCAAAATGAAATAACCACGTTGCGACTGCTCACAGAGGATCTACTTGACTACTTGCAACGCTACGGCCACTCAAGCATCATGCCTGCATATATATATATATGGGATATGGCACAACGAGAGCGTTGTGAGCAAGGTTAAATATATTAATTTCCCAACAGTTTCGGGAGGGGTCGAGGGTATATATATATATATATATATATATATATATATATATATATATATATATATATATATATATATATATATATAATAAGGGAAAGAAGTGTATGCCTAAGGGCTCGTTTTTCCGTGTTTTTAACACAATAATAATGAGATATAACAGACAGTAATGCCAAGGAATGTACAGGGGAAGAATGTACAGGGGAAGTTACAGGGGATATATATATATATATATATATATATATATATATATGGTTTGATATAATATATTGGTTTCAGGAAGCTAAGTCAAGTTTTGTTTATCTCGTGGTTCCAGTGTGAACACACGCACTCATTATTCTTACATTTCTTATTACTTGAGACGCAGTAACATTGTGAGAGAGCGTATTTTAAATAATGGGAGACGTGATATCAGCCTGGATTTGTAATTTGTTAGGTGCCATGCATTAGTAGCGTATATTTCATCGTGGTAGACAATACTAAGAGTTTCAAGACCCTTCTCTATGCCTACGAATTTGCGAAATGTTGTAGGGTTGTCCATTGTGAACTTTTTTGCATAATGTTTCGCTGTCAGCCTCGGTTAAACTATGCTTCCATAAGTGAGGGGATGGCGCTCCTGAGATGGTTGTCTGACTTGAATTTTCGCCTGTGTTATATTTGAATAGAAGCTCTCGACATGGTCCCCTGATAACCTCTCCTAAGTATTCCGTAGATGCAATTACGGTTTCTTGAGCTCAAAGCAGACGAGGAGTAAAACTCTGCAGAACAAAACTCTGTCGACACCGCGCAGCTATTCCAGAGGCAGCATTGTATGGATGGTCACAATGGGGAAAAGGAAGCAGTACATCTGCAGTTTGGAACAGCGGATTTGCCTTAGTGCCGCGTATATAATAAAGAAGAGCAAGCAGTATGAGAGCCAGGTAAATAAATAAAAAAGCACTAATGCTCGCCGGAGTGGGCAGATGGCACAGCTTGTAGGTTGGTTCTTCTCAGAGGACTAAGGGAGTGTCGGCGCGTACACATCTCAGTCAGAGTCAGGGAGAAAGAGGCAGGTTACAATTATGTACCACGCTCTTGGGACAAAGCAATGCGTTGGAAGGTGGGTAATAATTAACGAAAACAAAAGCATTGTATCGAAAAGAAATAGGCAAACTGAAGGATATAAACGAAAAGGGCGCGTGTTGGTCTCCCACTTACGGTCAGCAGTCGGCTGCAACAAACAAAAGGTATCGGTGCCATCAGCCACTTTTTTCTGAGATTCGATAGCATATATATATATATATATATATATATATATATATATATATATATATATATATATATATATATATATATATATATATATATATATAAGTATATGTGGTTTAATTGAAGAGTACTGTACAGGTGGAATTTGAAGATAACTGTCTCTTTCTTGTCCATGTTGTCGTCACCGCACGCACACATACCGTCACTGAGCACAAACACTGCGGACGTTCGCGCATGCGGAGAAACCTCGCGCGGCGCTACTACATACATTTCTGCCCTATTACTTGCTGGGTCCACGTGACGAGGTGCATGCACAGCCCTCGTTGTTGCTAAAATGACGGCGCACTCCCTGGCAGCACGGAAATCATTTTGCTGCTCTCGGCATGGATGTTGGCATCACTGCACTTTCGCTCTTTGAACCTGGTTTCACCACAACGTGTCTGTTTCAATGACAATGAACTCATCACAGCGCATTTAAGACCGCAGGCAATTTCGCAGCTCTCTGAAAGCAGCACAATAATACTGCTAAGCAGCACAATAATGATACGTATTCCTTATGTTACGCCTGAATGTTACAAATTTGTTCTCGTCGTGTATCTATGCCTTTAATACGCTGACACTTGGTCTGCTCTGCTAGCATAGATACTTGCAGCGTGTTTGAAAACAAAGACATATAGAATTTATACCGTCGTAGTCCTTTTGACCACAAGAAGACCATGTCATAGCAGTGAACTGTGCAGCTTTGTTAGCCTTACATGCCTAATACTTGATCGGAGGGCTGATGTGACACTCGTACAGTTCACATTCTCCTATGTTGACTCCAACCATAAGCAACAACGTTTTTCTTTACTTGAGTGCTTTCCGTTAAATAGCAGCTGCCTTAGCTATCCAATAAACCGATCCTATATTATCAATAAACCGATCCTACCGATTGACATATATTTTCTTCATGCTCTTGTTAGGGACGTTAGCTGCTGGAGGCATTTTTATGCTAACTGTTCTTAAAGCCTGCTTTGGCGCTTTCTATAGCCGCGGCTTTTGTTGTAGCCGTGTCTTATGCTGGTCTCTCTGTCCTGGTCTTATATGATTAAAGATGAGTCCTGTCGTTTGGAGATTGCCTTTTGAGGCTCGGTGTCACTCAAGTACGCATGTGGCAGATTGCGGTAAACTGCGCGGAGTGTGAGCGCACCGAAGAATTTCCCGTGCCACCGAAGAGGAAACGCGAGTCTGGCGGCAGTTTTGGTGAAGGCCTCGTTGGCACCTCTCTCGGCTCCCGCCGGAGGCCTGGACGGCAAACGTTGTCAGCGGCGGAGGCGGCGCGGCGGGATACGCCGGGAACAAGAGGTCACCAACTGTGCGTGCTTCAATGACGTCAACGACGAAGGTGGTGGCATTTAAGGCGTCTCCGGTAGAGAGGAACGACTATGCTCGTCGGATCTCGATGAGGACAGCCGACTTAACGAGTTGTCGTCTCTTTAGCCGGCAGAACTGTACGCTTCCCAGCGCTCTTCTGCGACGAGACTTTTGAGCGTAACATTCATCGTTTGGTGTTGTGATGAAGGTGGTTTGGAGGTTGCTGCTATGTCGGGGTGAAGTGATAGAAAAAAGAATACGAGCATCGGATGCAACAATGAGAATTGATTACAACGCATTCATACTCCAGTGAACTTTTGGGGTGTGAAAGGTTTGCCAGGGCATCAAGCACTGATGCCAGGTATGAGATACAAGAATGACCTGTGCTTGCTCAGCGGGCCGACGAGTGCCCTCGAGCAGCTCCTTCAAGTAGTGAATACCGACCTATTGCTCTAGTGCCTGGCGGCGCCATCATCACCGCTTCGCCAAGGAAAAATTGCGGCGGCGACGACGAACTAGTGAACACGTTCTCACGGCCTGAGCTGTTTTCGAGCAGCGTCGCCACTAACACCGTACGGTGGCGTTGTGAGCGGTAGCCAGGGCGCTGCCGTTGGCTAGGCAGTCGCGTGACAGGTGGCGTGGGTGGTTTGAGTGGCTTACGCCGTGGGTCCACGCACCGCCTCTTGACGATCAGAGCTTCACCGCTGGCTTGCTGTCAAAACTAGGCTGGGTGCTCCTGCTGGCTCGCTCGTTCCTCTTCGTGGTGAATCGGCTTGCTCGAGTCCTGTCAAAGACAAAAAGCCAAATAAGTCATTCGTGCAATACCCACGCGAAATGCCACCCTGGTGAATAGCAGCAATCGAACCATCCGATCTCAAACGAAATCAATCAGCAGAGCCTGCAATCGCTGTCCGCGTACTCTTTTTATTTTCTCAGTCATCCTTGGCTGAGACAATTCTGTGTGCAGTAATGTCAGCGCGCGAATAAGTACAAATTGTGCTGTGTGAAAATGAAGTGCCATACACGATGCCTGTCACCAACGACAAAGATTTGCTTGGCCTGGCATTACTTATTTGCTGACTGTTCTACATCATTGGAAAGTGCCACCATCTGAAATCGCGTAGGCAGCTTATTGCCGCTTGTTCCAATGAACGCTCGTGGTACTCGAGATTAGCCCTCTTTTGGGTGTTTTGACGGAGTTCTGTACGCACCTCAGTTTCGCCTCGCCGGCTCAATTGCAAACTGCTGCACCCAAAGTGAAGCGTCGAACAAGTACTGCATTTTTGTTTGTGTGTTTGATTGATATGCCGGGCTCTTCAACGTGCACCCAAATCTGAGCACACGGGCCTACAGCGTTTTGGCCTCCATCAAAAGTGCAGCCGCCACAGCCGGGATTCGATTCCGCGACTGTTTGTGTGTTTAATGTAGATGTCTGCTATGGTCATCTAGGATGCCTTAGTGGTGTTAAACCGAAAGCATGTGGAAAGGAAGTGTTTGTGGTGTACTTGCAAAGTATGCCTGCCCTAAAAACTTCTAACACTCATCTTGCCTCAACGATGTCTAGCAAACAAGCAGTAGCATATGAGACTATAATTTAGTTCTGAGCAGAGGACTGCTCGGGAAAACCCGGGCCCTGCCCGGCCCAGGGGCCAGGCCGAGTAAAATCTATTTCATGGTGGGCCCAGGCCGGGCTCGGGCCTCAATCTCCAGGTTTAGGGCTGGGGCTGGGTTCGAAGTGGTGGGCTCGGGTCAGGCTTTAACTCTGCTCAGTTCTTAAGGACTGGTCCACATATTTTGTGCAAACGTATATGTTTCCCCTACTGCATCTGAAAAAAAAAACTTTTTTATGAACGGCAAGCTACTTGGAGAAGTTTTATGAGGGACACCTGCTGAACTTCTTTTGCTTTTTGTACACGGAGCTTTTTGGTTGACTTGGTGTTTCTATACCTATAGTTAACTTCACACTATTATTTGCTTGGTTAATTTTATTCGATGCTATTTTGTAATTGGTGCAATAAATGTACACCAGTAAAATCTTGAAAGGACTATAAAATTGTTCGAACTAAGTGGAGCTTGAATAACGGGCGGGCGCTAGACGTAACAGGTATCGCACCGCTCTGCACAGACAGAACCTAAAGAAGCCGCTTCTGTTTTCGTTATTGTGAAATAGCCGCCACTGCACGTTTGTGGCAGGCGATTTGGTTGATTAAGGTGATGTAGCTCTAGCAGCGAATAGAACTATTACATCAGTCATGCAGAAAGAAGCACCGTCATACAATGATGTGAGGAGTGGTTGCGAGATATGTGATTGTAATTATGCGCCAAAACACGTTTATTTACGTGAACGAGTTGACGCCATCGAAATTGCAAGTATTAAGTGATCTTTATTTTCATCTCTTTTCTACTGTCGTGATTGAATGAGCATCGTTTCCAGCTATGCAAAAAGGTCCTGCGCAGCGTTCGAATTTTTACCTGCTGAGTAATGCTGCAATATTTTTTTGTTGCGCATCTATAGTAAATCTGGTTTGATTTGGATTTACAGCACATTTTAGTTCACCCTGAGAGGAGCAATAAAAACCATGGCCTCCCAGCACGGAATGTTGACAGGATCAACTCATCGGGACTTTTCTCTCGTAAAAGTATACACAGGGCTATGACTGGACCAAGGCGTCAGATCGAGTACATGTAAGCTAGAATCAAGCAAGTTAGGATTCACAAGTTTTTACTGCCTAATAATTTGATATGCTAAAATTATATCTGTAACTTATCATTGGAAGAGCTATTAGAGACATTCAAAGCAGGGCAACGTTCTTGAAAGTTGCAGTTGAATGGAAAGTTGACCTAGTCGCAACGCTTGTATGATTAGTGAAGCGCTAAAGACAAAAAAGAAAAGATTGATGCACAGGATGCGCGCTGTCTATTAACTGGAATATTCATAAAAATGAAAACGGGAAAACAATGGCGGGTATAGTCATTAAAAGTTCCCGCAGTCCACTAAAATGACAGGCCTACGCAGAGACACATTGCTTCTTTTTTGGCTTCATCTCGGCTGTGATCATGTGACGCGACTTGAACATGCACACCCTGCTTTGTGCGCTTCATTGATTGATTGATATGTAGGGCTTAACGTCCCAAAGCCACCATAAGATTATGAGAGACGCCGTAGTGGAAGGCTCCGGATATTTCGACCACCTGGGGTTCTTTAACGTGCACCCAAATCTGAGCACACGGGCCTGCAGCATTTCCGCCTCCATCGGAAATGCAGCCGCCACAGCCGGGATTCGAACTCGTGACCTGCGGGTCAGCACCCGAGTACCTTAGCCACTAGACCACCGCGGCGGGGCTTGTGCGCTCCATTGTTAGCGTTTAGCTTTCGTCGCGTCGCACTATGTGGTGCGAGAGCGACACAATACGGCCGAAACTTCGTTCGAATGCAAACGAATAGCATAGGTCCATGAAACGAGGTGTGGGGCAAATTATATTCACTCAAGTTGGTTTGGAATACCTGACTGGGAAAGAGACAGCTCCGAATTCCCTAGCGGAGATGTCCACTTTTATTTATATTTATTTATTTATACAATACTGCAGACCAATTTAATGGTCCAAGCAGGACGGGCAGAAAAAAGAATGTTCACGCACATACAATGCAATGCAATGTAACAAAAGCAATGAAGCAACAAAACGCAGAATTCACTTGGAACTACAAAATAAACAAGCCACGGTGAAACCGACTTTTCGCACAAACATAGCAGGGTTTCCAATCCAAATAAAACTAGAAAATCACGCACAACTTCAATAAACATTGCTAAAAACCCGAACGTCAGTAATTAAAAGTTTCTAAAATGATCGTGTAGAGCTGTCATAAAATTTCCACTAAAAATTCTTTCTGGCAATTTATTCCAGTCATCTACCGTGCGTAGAAAATATGAAAACTTAAAGGTATTTGTTCGGGCAAAGAATGGGGATAAGCTGTGGCTATGTGTGTGTCGAGTTTTCCTCGTGGTGGACGGACTAATGAATGGAGTGGGTGATAATCCAGTCTTACACTTAATTAGGGATTCCATAAAAGCTAAGCGGGCAATTTGGCGTCTAATGTGTAATGGTTGGATTTTATTGAGTGCCATGATACCTGACGGAGAATCACTTCTTTTATATTTATTATAAATAAAACGAACAGCCCTCCTCTGAACCTTCTCCAATTCGTTAATGTTTTTGTTCGTGTGCGGATCCCAAACAACCACTGCATACTCCAGTTTAGGCCTAATTATGGAATTATACGCTAAAAGCTTAACGTTACTAGGTGTACCTCGAAGTTCATGCCGTAAAAGACCAAGTTTTTTAAGCGCTGAAGAAGTTACCTGCTGAACGTGGTCGTTCCAATCTAATCTGGAGTTCAATACGATACCTAGGTATTTAAACTTACTAACCTCCTCAATTAAGGTGTTTTTAATTTTGTACCGGAAAGTTATGGGGTTTCGTTTCCTGGTTATACGTAAAAGAACTGTTTTTGTAGTGCTAATTTTCATGCCCCATTTGTCGCACCAAGATGATATGTCACATAAAGCCCTATCTAGCCGATGTTGATCAGAAGCAGACTGCACTTCAGTAGAAATCATGATATCATCCGCGAACATTCCAATATTCACAGTATCACCAACCACAGACACTAAATCATTAACATACAACAAAAAAAAGCAGGGGCCCCAGCACACTTCCCTGGGGCACACCTGATGTCACTGTTAGAGAAGAGGAACAAGTACCATCGATGTCTACAAATTGCGTTCGATCTTTCAAATATGAATTAACCCAATTTACAAGTGTAGAAGGAATTCCTGCTTGTTTAAGTTTTAAAAGAAGGCTACCGTGAGGAACCCTGTCGAATGCCTTGCTAAAGTCTAAAAACAAAACATCAATTTGCCCGGAGTGATCTAAGATTGAACTAAAACTATGAACGGCGGTGACCAACTGCGTAACGGCAGAAAATCCCTTTCTAAAACCTTGTTGGAAGGGACTCAATATTTTATTTTTTTCCAGTACATTAAGAATATGGTTAGCTACAATATGTTCTATCATCTTGCAACAACAGCACGTTAAGGAAATTGGTCGATAATTGCCAACATGGAAACGGTCTCCATTTTTAAAAACTGGAATTACCCTAGCCATAAGCCAATCATGGGGCAGCACGGACGTCCGAAAAGATTCACGAAAAATGACTGTCAAAAACCGAGCTAAAGATTCTGCATAGCGACGCAGAAAGGCGTTCGGGATTTCATCCAGGCCAGTAGTGCACTTAGGATCTAATCGCAGAAGCATTTCAAAACCTCCTTCAAAAGAAACAAGCTCGATCTGTTCCGAATGAGCCTCCATATGAAATTCATCACCTTGATCGTTTGAAAACACAGAATGAAAAAAGGAATTGAAAGCATTAGCAATGGAGAGACAAGATGTTTCCATCTTGCCATCAACCAGTAATTGATCGACCGATTTACGTGCACTACGGATGTGATTCCAGAACTTTCCTGGATCGTTTAAAATGAACTGGGGCAAACTTTCGCAAAAATACCGTTTCCTTGCGGATTTTACGCTGCTCGAAAGTTTGGAGACTAACCTATTTAAGACATCACAATCGGGACTGCGAGTCTTCTTGATACGTTTAATTCGCCGCTTTAGGTGAATAATATCTCGGTTACTCCATGGATTGACCCTTTTGGTTCGTTTTTTCTTATCAGGCATAAAAGATTTTAAACAAAATTTGCTATGCTCTTTAAACATTTCCCACAAATG